TTGATGTAGTCTACAAACCTGTGTAGGGCTTTGCTTGTATAAGGTATTTCTTAGCATGAATGCGGCACTTGATCGATATCTAGAAGGCAGCCGGTTGTGTATTCAGACCCCTCCGCCCCACCCCAACACAACATACACTATCAGACCCAATACTGCATCCCATCCCAGAGCTTTGACTGCGTATCCGCCGTTTACTAAAGATCCCATGACGCTGCCAGGCGTGAGGTCCTTTCTCATCATCGCCGCATTTGCAACCGCAAATCCACCAGACACGGTAATACATTTAACAATATCTGCGTCCCTCAAGCTCATGGCCGAGAAGTGAGGAAGTAACAAAACGGCGCGAGTCACAAGAAGTAGACCACTGAAGACTGAGTTGGATCGTAGAGCTGGAAGTGCGAGTAGAGCTGCGTTGAGAAGAATGTTCGGAATTTGCAGCGTTGCTATCGGCTTGCGACGTTTGGTCGTAACATCGGTTTTAGATGCTTCTTTTGCGACTGCGATATCCGGAGATGAAAGATGGAGTTGGATCAGGAACAGTGAAACTGTAAAGGAAATGGGTAGGATCTGGCCGAGCAGGATGTACGTGCGCACCATCGACGTGTCGTATCTGCGCGTTCTCGCTATGTATGCGTCAGTACCCTCTCACGCGCGTATATCGAACATTACCTACCCTTTTGCGCCATATAAATATTCCAAAACCATGTCGCCAGAATCGCAGCTTGCGTCCACACCGCGTTCGGCGCATCTTTAACCAGATCCTGCGCGAAATCTTGGAATAAAGTCGATTCTAACATCCATCTCTTCACCTGATCGGCACTGACATTACTGAAGCTCCTGCTCTTATCTCCGCTCCATTCCAGGTAGTGCGTGATCAGGAACATGAGCATGTGGTAGGACAATGTCGCGAAGCTGATCGAAGCGAGGAACGCGTAGATCTTGATGTGGCGCGCTCGCGCTGCCTTTGCTGCACTGAGCTTCTCATCCTTTGACGGGCTAGAAGTGTCGAATATGGCCGAGTATTGAGAGTAGAGCGAGTAGCTGATCTTGATAGTCGCGTAAAGTGCCGCGACGATGTATGAGAGGAAGATAGTGGTGCCGATGTAGCTGTTGGGTGGTGTGGCGTAATACACCAGCGCGTCGTACCCAGGGATTTCCATCTTGCGTGTTTATGCTGGCGAGGTATTATTGCTGGAAAAACAGCACCAGAGAAATTAATGGGCGACGTATATATCATTGCGGCCAGACGCGAGGTTTCAAAAGTGTGCGATGATGCCTGACGTCATGACACAATTGGTGTCTGAGAAATCGGGCGACGCGACACTTCGGCGTCTTTCTTCCCCGTCAACACACACGCGCGACATCACAAAATGCGATCGCGTTCATCTTCGCGCGCTGGATAGGAGTCATTGTTCCAGCCATATCTCGCGTTGCTTGATGGTTGCGCCAGGCCGCCCCCAGAATCTAGGATGCCTGACTACCTAGTCCAGGTAGCCGTGGAGGCTACAACGCAGCAAAAACTAACAACTCAACGATGTTACGCGGCATGTAGCCGTCAGATTGTGAGATGCGAATCATTCTGCGAGCTTTGAAAACCTCGAATGGTCGAATAAAACAAGTACTGACTGTAACGTACTTACCAAAAGAGAAGGGCTCGTCAACGGGAACAGCTTAAAACGAGTTACGGGGCTCTCAACACCATAATCCGGACCCTTTCGATGGTACGCCCCCCGCAGTTTGTGACTCATGAGCTCGAAGTTTGGCACGACCATTGGGGGCCTATCAAACCTCAGCGGTAGGAAATTCCCCACCCAAGGTTGTAACAGGCAGCAGCCGGCTGGTCAAGTATATTAGGAGCGTGTGCGTTGTTTCTTGAGAGACCCCAACAACTTTACCTTTCAACTCATCCAACCTCGAACAAGAACAGCAACGATGCGCCACGTGTGCGGTTGTTACATCTCCCATCCGGGAACGCGGGAGCGAACATACCTCCCCCAAATCAAGGTTGACGCACACACGACGATTATCTCCACGGCCGCCCGCACTACCTTGACGCAGACCTTCGTGAACCGGTCCAAGGAGTCATTGAATGAGATCTGTTATGCCTTTCCCTTGTTCGATGGCGTCAGCGTTGTCGAGTTCTTCTGCCAAATCGGCGAGCGTACCATCTACGGCCTAGTCAAGGAGAAGAACGAAGCCAAGAAGACTTATGAAAAGGCCAAGGTGAGAGGCGAAGCCGCAGCGCTGCTCGAACGACTGGATGAGGCGGCGGATGTCTTCTCAACTGCTATCAGCAACGTTCCCGGAGGCGCATCTGTGCATGTGTCCATCAAATACATCCAAGAGCTGAAGCACGATGCCGAAGTCGATGGTATTCGTCTTACCATACCTGCGTCCATCTTTCCCCGTTACGGATCCTATCCTGGAAAGCTCCAGGACACATCGGCTGAGCTTGATTCGAAGGGCATCTCCATTACCGTGGATGTCAAGATGGCAGAAGGTATTCCCATCAAGAAGGTCATCTCGCCATCCCATCCCATCGAAGTAACGCTTGGGTCGCTCTCAACAAGTACCATCGATGAAGATGCCTTGCTCTCGCAAGGTTCAGCCACGCTTTCCCTAGGTACCACAGGCCTAGACAAGGACTTTGTATTACAGGTGGTTGCAAAAGACGTCGGCGTGCCTCAGGCGATCCTGGAGACCCACCCAACGCTCCCCAACCGGCGAGCATTGATGACCACACTGGTACCGAAGTTCAACCTCAAGTCGCAAAAGCCCGAGATCATCTTCATCGCGGATCGATCGGGTAGCATGGGTGATCAGATCCCCACGCTGGTGTCGGCACTCAAAGTCTTCCTGAAGTCGATCCCTATCGGCTGCATGTTCAACATCTGTTCATTCGGCAGCAGTCACTCGTTTCTTTGGAAAGAGAGTCAGCTGTATGGCCAAGATACACTGGAGGACGCTATTCGACACGTAGAAGTGTTCGGGGCCAATTTTGGCGGGACCGAGACACTCACAGCGGTCAAGGCCTGTTTCGAAGCTCGCAACACCGAACTTCCTACCGAGCTCATGCTACTTACCGATGGCGATATTTGGGCTCAAGATCAGCTGTTCGACTACGTCTCCAAGAACACGAAGAATGGCAACGTCCGTGTCTTCCCCATAGGCATAGGCGGAGGTGTGTCTAGTGCGCTCATTGAAGGCGTCGCGAGGGCCGGAAGAGGCTTCGCTCAGATGGTTGCAAATAACGAAAAGCTTGATAGCAAGATTGTTCGCATGCTGAAAGGTGCACTCACCCCTCATATCCAGGATTACCGTCTCGAAGTCAAATACGAAGATGACAGCGTCGAGTCTGTTGCCGACAACCTTCGTATTAACCTTCACCTGGACAATGATAACGACGAAGAGCAAACGAAAGCCCCAGACGCTGACGCGAAGCCCATCTCGCTCTACAATCCCGATCTAGAAGAGCAGCACCCCAAGCACGGCGAGTCAAAGGACATCTTCGCGGGTCTACCCGAGCTAAAGCGCCCAACGCTTCTGCAGACACCCCACGAGATACCAGCCCTCTTTCCGTTCAACCGTACCTGTGTCTATCTCCTCATGTCTCCAGAGTCATCACACCTGCAACCAAAGAGTGTTGTTCTCAAGGGCACCTCACCCCAAGGCCCGTTGGAGCTAGAGATTCCAGTAGAAGTACGCAAAGAGGCCGACGAGATGATTCACCAGCTTGCTGCCCGCAAAGCAACACAGGAGCTCGAAGAGGGTCATGGATGGCTATCCGAGGCTACCGTTCGTGATACTGACGTCCTTTTTCAGAAGAAATATAGCTCTCAGTATCTGTTGCTTCAGAGACGCGAGGCTGTTCGTCTTGGAGTCGAGTTCCAGGTCGGCGGCAAGTACTGTTCATTTGTAGCCGTAGAGTCTAACGAGGCCGAAATCGCCGACAAACGCCGTAAAGCTCTGGAATCGACAATCAAACGGAGTGACCTAGCGGATGACGATGACTGGGAGGTCCTGGAGCATGGCCAATCATACAGATCACCGGTTACCACTTCGTATGGTGGCGATACACGATTTGCCAGTGGACCTGCATCTGCGTCGGCGAGGTCTGGATCCTTCGCTATGTTCCGTGGAGGCTACGGCGGCGGTCCCTTTGGCCGTACTGGCGGCGGGCGAGGCGGGCGAGGCGGAGGAGGTGGACAAGGCGGGCAATTCCGAGCTAGAAGGATACCTGCTGGCACTACACTAATGGATGACGCCGGCTCAGACGAAGACATGGGCTTTGGATGTTTCGAGAAAGCCAGTGCAGCACCCATGGCTCATCCTGGCCAACCGTCAGCGCTGCGCACGTCATCTCCCGCGCAAGTATTAGAACCAAGGGGTCGGTTTGGTTCGTCGAAACGGTCGAGTCGGTCGGCCATGGGTCCCTCCTCCTCTCCGCCACAAAGGCAGAAAGTACAGGAAGAGACTGGCACCCTCCTCCAGCGCCTCATCTCACGGCAGTCCTTTGAAGGGTCATGGGAAGCTATCGATAAGCTTCCGTTCGATGAGATGAAGCTCGACCGCGACGCCGCTAGCCTAGCTAACGCTCAACTCAGCGAGCAGAACTCCGAACAGCTTCTGGCTACTGCGATCGTAGTCTTGTTCCTGGAGAAGAAGATGCAAGATGAGGAGGAAACTTGGGAGTTGGTTGTTGAAAAGGCGCGCGCTTGGCTTGAAAGCGAGGTGGCGGAGGATGTGCTCGCCCGGGTGTGGCAGTTGGCTGAGGGTGTTGTTGCGAAGACTTCAACAACACCTCAGAGCATACACAAACGTTGGGTTGACTAAAATGTGAGATTTTATCGTTATGTAGGCTGCAGGCCTGTTTGGTTTCTTGTTATACAGAGTAAGTCCTTTGAGGCAACGTGCTATCGCTCTGGCTGTCAGCACTGTAGCTAAGCTTACAATAGAAGCATGCTCCATCGATTTCATTGCATCTGATCCGCTACTACACGTTAATTTATCGATGTCTCCTCTCGCTCTTTGTGAACCATCAACGTGGAGCTAGACATGATGTCTCGTGACCCATCCTCTGTATACGCCTCATAGCGTTTTTGCAGCTTTGCATTCCATTCTTCCCCCAATATGTTGGCCAATCTCTCTGGTATTACGGGCACCGCTAGCGCGATAAGATACATGCCAATGCGCGCGAAGTAGTTGTCGCGTAGTTCTCGATAAGTCGCTGCGCAGTGCTCCATGTTCAGTGCGAGAACGATGAGGGGAATGGAAACGCTGAGAGATATGCCGACTGTGAGGATGCATTAGCGAGAGGAGCCTTAACAAAAACGCCAACGGGGAAAAGTTACTCACATACTAGGCCAGTAACAATACCAAGCGGCCAGTTGGTCTCTCCAGTGATATTGTCTTTGGGGAAAGCGGCAATGCCGATCGCAAAAAAGGAAGACATGAAGGACAAAGGAAGAAACACTATGGTCACAATCGTGAACACCAAGATCGTCTGTACATTGTAAGCTGGGTAGAACGAGACAACATAGGGATTTCCTACATTTCCTTGTTTACTCGCTGCAACTGTGGTTTCACGAGCTTCTCGTGCTTCCCAGGCATTCGCAGCCTTCTGTTTGAGATCCATCAAAGTATTGATCTGTTGGAAATTAGCTCTGTTCCACTCTTTGCAATATCTGCCATACCTTCTCTTGTATCGTGCGGCTGTGGCCTTCAAGCTTCTTGAAGTCATCTATGTCGGCTTTGATGAGATCCTCTGCAGCTGAAGAACCCAAGAAGGTGAACCCTTCCGCCTTCCGTCGCTGCTGGATGACCGTCCGTTGTATGTCTAGTACTGAGAGAATGATGTTGATCTCATCGAGGATGTCTTTTATCTCAACCAAGAGCTTCACTTCCTCGCGGATGTCGAGGAGATCGACGAGAAGTTTATTCTTTCTTTCTTCGTAGTACTTGTTGGTTCCTTTGAGCTGCATAAGATGTGTAGATCCGCGTTGAAAGGATCGAAAGAGCCGGCTCTCCTTGTCGTCCTGCGAAAGTCAGCATTAGTAAGTAGGGCATTACTCTCAAAACCTACTATCGTTCCAACACTCTCTTCGAACATCTGGAAAAAGCGAAGCGGCTCCGCATCCAGCAGCCTATCAAAAACGCTGCAGCAGGTCTCCAAGATGCGTGAAGTGAGATCTTCCGGCTTACGGATAGGATATCGTTTTCGGTGCGTCGGATCTAAGACTAGTAGTCTAAGATCGTCCATGACGCGGTGCGCATGCTGGCCGGTTCCTGTTCTGCTTGGGAAGCAAGATATGACATAGTGGTCTTGGGGTTCTTCATCCCGTTTATTCCCGTTGTTCATATCCATCTGCTCACGGTTCGTCCGAGTTTCAGATGATTTGTCTTGAGCTTTGTTTGGAGACAATTTCTGATGAGTGGACCAAAGCCAGAGTTGATCCACCATAAGAATATTGTGCCGAGCCTCGGCTTTCGTGTGTTTTGCCCATCGAGACACTACCTGGTCCATGTCGCGCTCTTTCGTGTTGTCAAGCATATGGTAGTAGTACTGGTCCAACGTCCTGCACCGTTAGCACATAGACTCAAGAAAATGGGTAGCAACTTACCGTCGGATATGCAGAGCTGGAGGGTCATGTAGGTATGCGGTGACCAATGCCTTTTCTTCTTCTTCCAAATCATCAGGATCGTCCGCGTCATAGGTGTCTGAAAAGTCGGAGTCATAATCGTCGGAGGATGGTTTTAAGGGCAGACTGTGTCTGACTGGTACTTGTAGAAGTTCGGGTTCTTTTGACGATAGTTTGTGTGACATATTGCGCAGCGCTTCCATTGTCACTGGTCCCGGTATGTTCGCATCGGTGGAATTTTGCAATGAGTGCTCCTGGTCGACCTCATGGACATATTCCGTCCGTCTTTCGTGTCGCATGTTGGCTTCATAGCTCAAGAAAGGGATCTAAGCACGTCAGCACCATTCCTCTAAAAGCTATGATGCGAAGCATACAAAGATTGAATGATGGTCACTCGTTCCGATATGAGGTGTTATGGCTCGCTGTTTCATTCAGTAAATGTGGGAATAGTTACACACGTAACGCACGTTGCGCAAAGATCCTGTAACAGATCTCCTCGTTTCCTGCCATATCGCAGGATGTAGGCCTAGCTTCGAAAACAGATCCTGACCTGGGTCAGCGCAAGGAATCGGAGTTGGCACGCTACATACCTCGACCCAAACCATCTGTGATATGTCAGCGATATGCAAGAGGATTTCAGATGGGCTGTGAACCTACATTGTTTTCTGGAACATGTACCCAAGTACAGACTGGTACTTTCGCGGCAACCTCTTTAGGCCTCACCTGTTCAAGGATGTCTTTCAAAGAGGTGCTTCCGTACAAGAGCGCTTCGACAGAAATGTTTACACTCCAATGCTTGTCGCTAGATTTTGACACATACACTTCCGTGACCGTGACCTGATAATTCTTGCAGGCTAATTTACCCTCTTTCGAAGTGGGTGATCGACCGTTGCCGATCCTCTGGGCACTGGGACGATGATCTGGTCCTTTCACCACGCGACTGCGCAACATTTTCGCTATGTGCCTACGAGACTTATGTCTCTCGGCAAGGGCTTTTGGTGTTCGCTTGTGTGTGTTTTCCACTGCAATGTCTGCGTCATGGTGCAACAAGGCTCTGATGATCGTCTCGTTTCCGTTGCGGACTGCGTGATGGAGTGGCGTATTCAGCTGGCTATCACGCACGTTGACATCCAGCCCGTCGACATTGAGAAGGCTGTGAACAAGCTTTTCGTGATTGAGTCGTACGGCGATCTGAAGTGGCGTTTGGTGCCTTTTTGATATGATCAGTCATTACTCAAAATGGACCTCATGAAGTGCACCTGATACACGAATATGACCCAGAGAACACATCTTGTAGGACGAAAAGAGATCGCACTACTTCGACTTGAAATCTCTAGAAGTAGAGAAAGACTTGCGTACTTACAGCCTGTCACGTAGATTGGGGCTGACACCTTCTTTGAGTAGGGCGTCTACCTCTCTTGGGTTGTTATCGATAGATGCTCGCAGAAGACCAAACAATTGGACATTGGCCTTCATTAGCATCGTCAATCGCAGGAAGTCCAGGTCGTCAGAAGCGGCGAATTTCAGCACGTTTGCAGCATCCCGGGAGAATATCAAGGTACGGGTCGAAATGCCTAGGAGTTCGCTAATTGACCCCTGGCCAGTCCCTTGATCGTCTCCTCGGGCGTGAATCTGGGTTATTGGAAACCCGATCGCAATGTTCTTGATGCCCGATGAGCTCTGGTTCCCACGTGGGAGACCTCTAGGCGCGTCTTGTTGCCCTTGTCGTGAAGAGACTAAGCTGGTCTTAGCCTTCTCGCGCATCTGGCTCAAGGAAGCACTGCTAAGGAGTTCATTGAGAACCTTTCCGCTAGCCTTCACTCTATGGATCTTAGCAAACGATTGAGTACATTTTTCAGGATTGGAAAGTGAACAAGAAAAGAAAAACACCCCCGCGGTGTGGGCTAAGACATTCGAGGCCAACGCATGGCCAGATGAAAGTGATGCAAGCGCGTGCAGTATGATCAAGCAGCCGAATGAGTGACCAAGAAACACAATTGGTGCTGGACGATGTTCTCGCAGTTGACGTAGATGCTCATGGAGTTGCTGCGCTGCAGCCTCGAAATCAGGTACGGTAGAGAGCATCGAAGACAAGTCAAAGCCGACAGTGATAACCCGGCTGCCGGGTACCCGTTTTCGCAACATGTTCTCATCCTGTATCCAGCTTACGGGTCGAGGCTTGACACTCTCAAAAGGGACGCGGTTTGGGGTGTTCGTGAAAATGGTCGGCAAAACTTGATGATGCATTCTTCCAATATCTGTTCTAGCACGGCGGATCGGCTGCGTTGGGGCGTCACTAGGGCTTTCCACGTGAGGTTGGGCTTGATGTCGGAAAGCGTCTAGGTCAAGATCGGGGTCCGTAGACGTGTCACACAAGCCGGAGTTGTATAAATAGACTACCACAATATCGACGAGGTGCCCGGTCTCTGGCCAAGGCGAACACCGTGAACGCATCTTCCATCCACCTTTCGGACCCGCGTCGATGCGACTCCACGGCTGTGGTGTTGGGTGGACCTTTGGCTTCGCATAAGCGTTCAAATTCGGCTCCCTGGTGAGGTCTTGTACGGAGACATTACTAAAGCTATGTCGCCGTAGACGGATGGTGGGCCTCAGTGTATTCTCGAGATTATTCACCGGCGCGAAATGTGCCTCCTGCCCTAATGGAAGTGCTTTCTTCAACGATGGTTTCTCGGTGAATCCTGCAGACGCGTTGGATTCATCTGGCTGATGAACAACGATTTGGGGCACCGTATGGTCCGTCCGCAGCTCATCACCAACGTCAAGTTCCAGTTTGTCGTCCTCGTCTCTTGAAGAGGCGCCGCAGGTTGAGTCTAGCTCTTCCGGGCGAAAGAAATCGACCTGAGAGATTGGGTTGGCTTTGTATCTCTCTTCCCAATCTTCAAGAACCTTCCTCGCAGCATCCCCCCTCCCCGGGCTAGTTCCATATTGGCGATGGCCATCGTAGAACAAAGGTTCAAGATCGATGCGTGGTCTTCCCGGCGTGTTGAGCTCATCATGCGATGTGACTATGATGTCAGGAAAGTCGCCAATCTCATCTGATCCCCGGCTTGCTGGAGTCTCGTTAGCCCCGTTACAATTTGGGATGGACGCAATCTACTGGGTAATATTGCGCTATCTGAGTAACCCTTACCTGGATTATACTCCATGCTGACAGACATGTAGAGTGTATGCAGCTCGTGTCGTAGGAATGCGAAGCATTCTGCTAATACTCCCCGCGCCGTGCCGCTGCATGGAGGACAATTGGGGGCTGTTTTCCTGTTGCGTTACTGGACGACTGGCGCCACAATCAAGCAGGATAGAGTGCGATCGGCGATCGGCGGGGCAGATCAGGTAATGAGAATGGCGAAGGGTCTCGCAGGATGAGACAGATGCACATGATGGGGAATGAGAGATGATCTGGGCCTCAAGGTGTTCAGTGTTGAAGCCAAAGGGTGTCGAGGTGAGATGCGCTCGCCGGGCGGTTCCGACATCGGAACTCTTCATTCCGACGCTTCGGGCCGCACCTTTGGTTGCAGACCTCAGCTCCGCCCGCCTCATCGTCAACACTATCGCAGTTTACAAATAGAAGAACGAGCATCGACCGCCGCAATGACATCAAGTACCCTCCTGGGAGGATTTCCAGACAAGGCACCGTCTGCACCTACTATAAAACTCCGATATGCAGACAGACGTATGCGCCACCTTTCCCTCCCTCACTGCTATCAGTGCGTCTTTCTCTCCTTGACGCTAATATCAACGCCTTTCATCGTGCACTGGAACCAACCACCGATCTCCGGCTCTCCCGTTATCTCAACGTCACATTCCATAACCAACCGCGCCAGTGTTTTGACAACAAAAAACCTCGCAAGATGTTGCCCAGGACAGCTTCTACCTCCACCCCCGAATCCCATCCACATACTGTCCATCCTGCCAATCTCTCTCGTTTTGTCCTCGCTACCACCGGACAGCCATCTCTCCGGATTGAAGTCATGGGGATTTGCGAAGACCTCAGGAGCAAAGTGTGAAGCCCAGAGATTAGTCCCGACTGTAGTACCAGGCGGAAGGTAGGTATCGCATAGTGTGGCTCCGGAAGCGGGTACGAGGCGAGGGATGTACCATCCGAGCGTAGGCCAAATTCTCATGCTTTCTTTCATAATGGCGAGGAACAGTGGTACCTTCTGGATCATTTCGGAGTATTTGGTATTCTTTGAGATGCCCTGGCTTTCCATATCTTTACGTAGGCGGGTGAGGATGGCTGGCGACCTGTACGTATGGTAAATGACCGAAGAAAGGGTGAACATGAGCGTGTCGTGTCCAGCGCCGAAGTTGGTAAGAGCTATCGAGAGAACCCATGAAGGAGGGAAACGTGCCTCCTTGTCATGATGCAGACGCATCAAAGTAGCGAGCATATCCGTCTCTTCAATGTCCTCTCCCTGTAGCTCCGATGGCCCCACACTCTCCCCTTGATCATGGAAGAGACCTGGACGATCGCCTGGAAACTTAACATCCTTCGTACTTTCCAGTGCTTTCAACCTCTGCATGATCGTCGGAGCAGAGAAGCTGAAGACGGGCCAAACCTTCGGTAGTCTAACACCCAAGAGTAGTGACGCGGGTAGGACCAGCAACATGCCGACTTTCGGAATCGCATGCATCAGCTTTACGAAGCCTGGGAAGATGCCAATCACAGTGAAGCATTGCCATAACGCATCGCTGGCATCTCCGTTCCCTTCGTCACTGCCTTTCTCCGTGTAACCTGGTCGCTTGCCAAGAGTGAACTGGCTCATAGACTCCAAGGCGAATATATGGGTCCATTCCGCAAGATCTACCTCTTTCCCTTCAAACCCTTTCAGTCTGCCAGCGAACTGATCGATGTAGGCATCAAGTAATCCCTCATGCTTTTCTAACCCCCCAATGCTGTAGGCCGGCCCAATGGCTCTTCTTTGCCTGCGATACTTCTCCATGTTGGTTTCTGTCAGCATATCGAGAACTTCCTCGGCAGGTTTTCGGCCTTTGTCAGGTGCGCCAGCTATGCGGTACCAATCTCCCTTCGTAAACGACGTCGCCGCCCCATAAACAGTTTTGATGGCGTCTTCGTCGCAGACTAGGACTTGGTCAGGTGCTATGCGCACAATAGGCCCGTATCGCGCGTGTAGTTTGGGGAAGTGGACGTGCGATTGTCCTTTTCGGACGTGCCATGCGAGCCATAGTTTACTGAAGCGTGCAAAGAAGGGGCCAGGAACGTTGCGTAACGGGTGGAAGAAGACTCTGTAAGTCGTTATATAGACAAAGTATGCTAGTA